AGTAATGTAGTGAAATTTTAGCGGCCACCGGTATGGCAATAAAATGAAAACTATTAGTAAAAAGTAAACCAGTAATCAGAAATAGTTCACCAATGAGCCATATAACGGATGATTATGCAGAATAATATACGAATGGGGATTGAATTTAGCATAAATCGAATACAGTTTTTTAAATTAAAAAAAAATGGTGGTGAAGTTGAATACAGCTATAAATCAGAAAGAAAAACATCCTTAGAAACTTCAGTGTGAAATGTCTGCTTTTCTCATAAATACAAAAATTTATTTTTGCGTAAACGTGAAGCACTTTATTCGCATTCACAACTATTCATTTAACAATTTTAGTAAACAGAATTATATTTTGTTTTTTCCAAACAAGCAATACAGTTGTTTTCCTAAAAACCGTAAGACAAAGTTAATTGTAGAAAATACGCAAATTATGAACAGTAGAGAGCGCTCCAAAGTGGACAGCAGCTATACTGATGTAAGTTTTAATATGCAAATAATTATAAGTTAAACTCACCTTATTGAATTTAAAAGCTTAAAATAAAGTAACAATTTAAAAAAATTCTTGGATCTGCTAGCTCATCAGCTGGAATGATAAGCAGCAGTGTATAAATCTCATTTTGAATTTAATGATTTGAAGATAATGTTATGATCATTTTTACCCACTTTTTAAGCCAGTTAGTACTTCCATACGAAATAGTACTTTTTTTACTTTCATGTCCAATTTTACGAAGTTGAAAAACGACGAAAAAATGTCTCTTCAAAAGAACAAAATGGCGAATTGCTTCACATTTGTCACTGTCACCAACAGAAAATTTTGCGTAGTCATACTGTATAGTTATATAAATGAAAAATTAGGCATAATATTTACTTAAAAATTGAATCTCAACAGACCTTTTCAACAGCAGCCGAATCAACTGTGAAATTACTATCGTAGAAGGAAGAAAAGACTTAGAATAATTGAAATAGTGAAGGTGAATAGCTATGCAAATATAAGTCAAAAGAAAAGAGGCCAATCTCGTTTTCCAAATTTAATATTAAGTCTCTGGAAAAATGACTGAAGTCATACATTAAGTCAAAAGGCCCAAAATAAGTATATAATTTTCATAAAAGCTATTATCTTAAGAATTATTTTTCACCATCATTTTGATTATTTTGCTGGAAATTTAATCACAGACAAGACAGCACTCAAAAAATCGAAAAAATGAATACATGAATATTCATTTTATGAAGTAGCACTGACTCTAAAGGAAAGTAAAGAACTGTTAGAGCGAACGAATGATTCTTTCTTCCTGCTATTTTTTCCATTTTTTTTCTGATTTATTCATGATTCTCTATTTCCTTTAATGCTAGTTTCTATGCTACAGAAAAAGCGCAATTCAGAAAAATCTTTTCTTTCCACTAAATCTGTCTGTTCTGAAGTTTATTTGATGTGATTGCGATTGAAAATACCAACCATTTCAGTTTTCGAGCATTAATTTTCATGTTAATATGATTACTTTGTGTTTATAAAGGCTATTAAAACTTAAAATTCATTAGGAAGAAATGTAGGCAACTTCTGGGACTGAAATATCTGAAAAGTTATTTGTTTACTTATCTTTTACTGTAAATTACAGATGATTTTATTTCCATATCCATACCACATTACTTACTGTGTTTTTATCATGCTCCTACAAAGGTCATATTTTCTAAAGAGAATCGCATATCTTTTGAATATTCCTGTTCAACATTCTTTCATAAACGTTTGTGCAAAAAATATTATTCATGTAGTTATAGTTTTTCTGCACATGTAATTTCCATTCATCAAAAAAACCAGTTGGGAAGGCTGAGTGCTGACCGTATTATAATCATAGTAAAGCACTTGTAAATATTGCACTACTATTCGACCAAGTCATGTCTAGCGCAATAAAGCATTTAAAATTCATTATAGAGCATTGCAATTTTTTATTAGTTAAAATTAGACATTATGAGAGCATTTACCTAACAGTTTTATATCAATAAATGGTAATGAAAATACTAATCAGTTTGCTAAGATGAAAATAATATCAAAAAAGAATATAAATACTTCGTTGCCACTTTGAAGAAAACGTAAGAAATGCAAAAAAAGTAAAAAGTAAAAAATGAAAGAACATCGTTCTTATCTCATCAATATTGCTAATTTTTCTTGTATAGTCATTTAAATGAAAGCCAAAATTCTATTTTCATAAAAGGCTAATCAAATGTTTTATCTCATATAAAGCTAGCCTTTATGTGACAACAGCTAATTTATGCTTGCTTGATTCATATCTGCATAATATTTCATGCATGCGTGAATCAAAGAAAATCTTTTGTAAATTTTTGCAGTTCATTGCAGCTAAATATTTTTATTTAACATAATAATATTTATTAGTATTATCGTCATCACTCTTACTTTTCCACTGTATCAAAAATTTCCTCTTAGTGTATCTTGGAATTTGGCCTAATAGAGCTTAACGTCAATAATGAGGTTTTTAATTTCTATACATATCTGGAATTTTCCAGATTCCAAGTGCTTCGGTTTTTGATCAAAAATACTAACATTTTCTTAGTCGCAACAATTACTAAGGAGTGCTAATTTAATTAAAATTTAGATATATAAAGCACCATATGGAAGTTACAATCTATAGCACGCTTGATAAAATTATAAATCTTAAGTTGTAGATTGAGTAAATTATGCAAGACAAATTCACCATTTCAAAAAACTGATGAATAACGCCTTCAAAACTGGAGCTTCTCTCATTTCTTTGATTTAAAACATTTCTGATAAAATGAATTTATAAAACAGATGGAAACATTATATCATATTTCACAGTAATAATTTTAGGTTTTTCTCTAAAAAAATATCAATACTTTTTAATTAGCAAATCAAATTCACATTGCTAAGTTGACATCTAGTGATATTACTTTCGGACCTGTTAAGAATTTCAAGATATAAGTATTCTAGCAACTTGCTTAACCTATAATAAGCATTAATTTTGCCAGCAATTTAATGACGTAATTTCAATTTTATCAAAAAAACAACAAAAATAGGTGCTTTACTTTGTGTACTCAATTAAAGAAGTCTACTTGTGATGCAGTATTGCTTACCTCACACTTCGAAACGAACAATACAATATTCACACCTTCCTGATTCTTCAGTCCTGTTTTCACATTCGGATCCATTTCAGTTATTTCAAAAAATGAGCAGAAGTTAAATAAGATGAATAGAAAGATTTCTCAGAATTACAAGTTACACTCGTGCTAACTTTTATTTAGTTTTTGAGTTTATAATGATAATGTGAAAAAACTATTAGTCAGTTTTGCAAACACTTAATCACAAAAAAAAACGTGCTTGAAATTGATTTTTGTCTTCAAAATTGACCATCATATTCCATCATCCTCAAATGGCTTGTCAAAAGGTGCAAAGTATTCGGGCAAGTTTTTTTTTTATGATTAAGTTTGCAAAACTGACTAATAGTTTTTTCACGTTCAAGTCAATTTGGAGATTTTAGGTATTCATTTAAAAGACTGAAAAAGTAACAACTGATCTTCTTTGCCTGCGGTTTTTAACGTTAAGTAAAAACGTGAGCAACAATTTGTTCTTAAGCGAATTTTAATTCATCCCAATTTCAATTTTTTGGGTAATGATTGCGCAACTGAATGTGGCTCATTTTTTTCAAAAAACATGTACACAATATTATTGCAATGTTTTAGAAAAAAGCGTTGTGTACAAATAGGCTTTAATAAATCAACAACGATAAATTTTGTACAGAAGGATCATGATGTTCTTCAGTTAAATGTATTACTTTGTATGGTGCGGAAAACGTGAATAAAATCAATTAATTGTAATGAAATCTTAACTACAAGAACACAATGAAAATCACATAAATACTAAATAGTATGGGATGAATGAATCTCAGTTCACCTACATAAAATAAACTTCATAATATGCTTTCATTTAATCTTACAGTTTAGTGGTTGAAGTAGAACTGATTAGAAAATAACTTTAGGATCAAATAATGATGATCTGCTGTTATAAATTGGATATGGTTTATAATTTTTAAAAACGTAAGCTTGAAGTTTTTTAAAATGTAAAGACACTGCGATGTGGTACGTCTACTTATTCTCGTCTACTAATGACATAATATTTTGTGTAAGAAACTATTTTTTTATTTTTAGATTTTATCAGTTTCTTCTTTTTTTCAGAATTAAGTAGCAGTAAAAGTACAGATGTTCCAAGCAACGATAAAAACTGCTGTTACATAAATATACCAACATATAACAGTTACATACATAATTGTTACATACATATACCAACATACATGCATTTACAAGTGCTATAATAGTAATGAGATTGGACAAAGAAATCATTTATGAAGACAAGAATCAAGTATTAGTGCACATAGTGACCTTAAATCTTGAAGCCATGAAACTGCGGTCCAGCCAGAAGAAGGGCATTAGTTCCCCGAATCTTAAATTAATCTTCTGAAGATATTAAGTTATTTACAGTATTTCGTTACGAAGAGCAAAAAAAGGAGCAAGTTTTGTTTCATTTTAGGTTCTTTGTGCAGTAAAAGAGCCGCATTGAAAACTGCATCTTTTAAAACTGAGTTTGTTCATAGAAGAAAGATTGAATTAAATACTATGGTACCAGAGTGAGTCAGCTACTAGCTTGATAGCTGTTATCAAGATTACTAATTCTTCTTGAGCTTCAATTTTCTCCAAGGTTTCTAGAATTTTCATTAAGCTACTTATTACTAGGACTGCAAAAGGAATTCATGCTGAAGCACAGTTCTCTAAGCAACCAAGACATTCACAGCTTTTCCTATTTTTACTCATTCTTCTTAAGTAATGGCAGTCTTGCTGGTCTTATTGAAGATACAAGTCAAGAATAAATATCATTTTCTTCGTTGACTACTGTCATATTTGGAGTATACTTCGTTGCAAGATTTTATTTCAGTGATATAACGATTCAGATCAGTCACTGTTCCTTTGAAGCAATGAGTACATTAGATTGGAATCATAACTGGAATGATGGATTAACACAGAGTGCAGTTGCTACGACAAGTTCTAATGTATCTGAAAACTATGGTTGTCCTTGGTATATTTCACTTTTCCCTTATTTTATTCAGCAAATTTTATCTTTTCCTTGAGTCATATTTGCAGTAATGGACCAAAATTGAGTGCTCAGGATAAAAAAAGTGTTATTGGAGGAGGGCAAGAACAAGGAATAACCAATTTAGAAAGACATAACTGTAAGAAGTTAGGCACCGGACTTCGAAGTTTTGAGTCCAATGCTCGTAAAAAAGTGAGTTTTCTGTCTGCTTTTGATCTTTTTACTCGATTAGTTGTGTTGAGATTTAACTTCAATTTTGATAAATGTAACCCAAATTCAGGGCATCAATAATCCTTTGAGCATTTCTGCGATACGTAAAATTAAGAAAACAAATAAGTTGTTCAGTTCTTTGGATAAAACTTGTAGCAGTGATATGAAGGATCCTGTCAGGTTAATTTATATTTTGTGTGCTACATCAATTCTTGTTCACTTCCATTTCCACATGAGTTTAGTATATTTTCGTTGTAAAATAATTTTTAGATAATTGTAGTAATCTTATGAATATGGCAGAAATAAATTATTACTTAAGACAGTTACAAAAATACTTGAATTCCTCGTCTCTATCTGATTGCAGAACGATCGTACAGAGGACTCTTCCACAGAAAGCGCATCAATTTCAGCTAGTGTTACCCGACCATGCAACATCTGAAGTATCAGAGACAATGAATTATATAGATCATCGCAATATAAAACAAAATTTGCCGTTAAATCAAAATTCGGCTAGTTTTAAATGCATCAGGAAGTCAAGTTCTCGAAGTTCCTTTTCAAGAAGTTTGAGTGAGAGAGAAGCTGACGGTGAAAGTTTCAACGTAGATGTTGAATCAGACGACAAAATGAACGTGGAAAAGAAAGGTTGTTTTGTTTGTTTTGTCATATTTATCACTCCAAATTTTTTTTTGGTACTATCATGTTATCTTGTCCACACAAAACATACAAAATTTGATGAAGAGCTATGATTTTTGTCACTCACTTATTATTTTATGCTAGAACACTGCATTCTCTCTTAATTCCTCAAAACTTTTGTTGTCCATTTTATTTTCATTGATACTATCAATTCTCTCAACTAAATTACGAAATCGCTTTTCTATTACAACTCTCGTTCTAAAGCTTTTGAATTATTTTTATTTAATAAATATTAAATCACATTTGGCATTCCGAACTTTGGATAACATTTTCAGTGGTGCTAATAGGAAAGGCAGTTTCCATGATACCGTCTACCTTTGCCAAAAAAAATTCAAACGTTGAAAAAATTGAGACTCGAAATAAATTATCACGGTCTACAACAATGCGAAATCGCAGTTTCGAGTACGTTTTAGCTCTTTTTCTTTATCCTTTTTTGTTTTAATATTGGAATGATACGTTTTTGTGTCTCAATGAGACAATTTTTGAGCTTATTGGAGATTTACTATTCTTCAAGCAAGATTTATAAATTCTTCAGGTATAGGAAGTTTTAGTACATACATGTTGTTTAAAGCTCTTCTGTATTTCATTAATTGTTATTACTTTGGCATTTTTCAAGAATATAACTACCTAAACATAATTTTCAAATTTCCGTGATTTTATTTCTCTGGTCTGCAATTAATAATAGCAATTAGTTCAGTTGGGAAAAATTGGCAATGAAAACCAAACCCTCATTTATGAAGCATCGAAGTCAAAAAATGCTGAAAAATCGTTTGGAAAGATATTGTGTTTCATCACCGGAATCTTATACGAACAACATTCAGAAGACTGATACAATTAAAAAAATTGACAGAACTACAGATTTTGCTTTTCGAACTGCATTACCGAATTTTAATCAAGGTTCTTCTAATTAATGTGATCGTTGTTTATCTTTTATGTAACAGATATCTATAGTTGTACTTCGTAACTTGGCCATATAGTATATATGTAAGTGAATGTGTCTATACTGCTCAACAAATTTTCTAAAAGTGCTCAAAAAAGTTTTTTCTTCAGTGGGAAGTCGAAGATATCTTCAGTAAATAGTTCCTTATTGTTCTCTCTGTTCTTCTTTGGACTCACTTTGTTTACCGTCACGTTTTTTTCAGTTCTTCGAAAACATTTTTTAATGTTTTTACTAAATTTCTACTGTTTAAGATTGTACTACTGTTGACGACTCAAGTAATATTCATGCAGAGCAGGCTACAGAAAGAAGAATTTCGTTGGATGATAGAGAAGGGAAAGAGACAGCAACTGGAAAAGTACGGAAATGTGATTTTTTTCATGCAATATCTTCTAAATCAAGTTATGAGTATATTATTTCTGTGATTTCCTTGTAACAAAGGATAATTTGAGAATAAATGAGTAGTCGAATTTTTCTTTAAACCTGAATAAACAAAAAAAAATTAATTTATTGAAAATATCCAAATACATGCTAATATTTGTGATGAATATATGACGAGCTTTTATATTGCAAAAAATATGATCTAGGATAATGAAGAACAAAAATAGATGAAATGGACTTTTAGATTAATAAGGAAGATTCTATAGAAGTTCATACTTCTCCGCTTTGTGTAATCGGTGAAAACACTGATGGATTTAAACGTATTAGAAATGATGGTAAGTTAAATACCGATTTTAGTTAAGACTTTTCAAATATATATGTAAATTCTTATTCTTGTAAGATAATAATTGTTTGTTCACCAGTTATGGCTGAATTCTTTCTTTGATGAAAGACTTAATCAACTCATTAATAAACTTGCATATTAAACTTCTGGTTACACCCCATGAAAAGTTCTTTGTTTTCCATGAAATAGATTATATAGAGGGATATAGATTATTTTCATGTTCGTTTAAAAAGGAGTCATCTTCATTTCGTGCTTCGGTCTGTTATTTTCATTGTTAGTTATGGTTACATATAAATTTCACCATATTCAATTCATTTACATTATTTTGCCTACGTTTGCAAAGAAAACTTCAGAATTCGTTAACGACACCAAAGACAAAAAAGAAAGACCAGTGAACCAAACAGTAGATTTTTCAGTGGAAACGACTTTTTTGCTTACAGCAGGAGGTTCTCAAAACATTAAGGTTGGTATTTTAATTTATATTTAATTTTAGAAGTTGATAGTTTGAACAATGAACTCGTATGACGTACGTTTGGCAAATCTATTTATTCTTTATGTATGGTATTATTATGCTATGACTTTTTGATTAGCTTATTCATGTATGAGTATTGTGTTAGGTGCTATGATTGATCATAATCCAAAACGGATATTGCAGAATTCAAATGAATTTATTAATGGCAGTAAAGAAGAGATTGACCATGCAACTTTGACAACTGATAATGCTAAGGTTGTTTTTTATTTTCTTTGTAAAATGAGCGATATTGGAAGGTTGTAATGCATAGTTTTTATTGTTCAAAATAAATAGGAATCAACAGAGAGAAAATTTTTCCTTTATTTGTAGCTTAAAGAAATGTGGGCACTTGTTGCGGAAGAAACTTTGCTGGCAAATAATTTGAATAACCTAGATACAAAAATCAGTAAAACTAAGGAAAATTTATCCACGCTTATTCAGAAATCAAATCAGGTATTATTTATAACTTTCATTATTTATTGACGGGTATTTCATCGTCTAAGTTATTTTAGTGCATAATCATGCGTGATCTTGAAAATTTTAAGTTCCGAGATTGCATGTCTTTTCTAATAATTTTGACATAATTTCGTGTCTTACAGATTATGACAAGATTAAATGAATTGCGAATACGTAAATGCCGTCTGTTAAGCAGACCATAGGTCAGTTTCATTTTGATGCTGAATAACTTTGTTGATAATTGTTGGTAAAATTAGTACTCATGCAGCACTAGTATTGGCTTATATATTTTTTCTCTCTAAATGTATCTCAAAATCTAATTTTCTTGTAGATTATCTGATTGTATGTTAGTTTCCCACATAGCTTGAAGTTTTATGGTGCATCATTTGTGCCTTACATCTTGGTTGACCCGATTCAGTGGTTACAGTGAAATGTCCTCTTTGTATATATTTGAAAGTAGGTATAATTCTTGCTTATGAGTGCAGAGTTTGCAAAGGAATCACACACTTTTGTCTTTTTAGATTTTGATTTACTCTAGAACTAAGTATTATGAGATGAAATAAGAAGTCCAGAAGAGTTATTAAGAGCAATATTGCGATGCAGCAAATTATTTCTATTGTCTGTATGTGAAGTTTGATATCTTTCAGAGTGAATAATATCAATGCGAAATATTCTGCATATAATTTCAGATAAATTGACCCAAATTTTGGTAGGTGTAGTGCATTTGTAAATATTTTTAAAATGGACTGGATCGATGAGAATTTGTTTGATCAGTCTTGCATGTTTTTGAGCAAGGGAATTTTGGAAATTAGTAGCAATAAAGGTGAGAAATAGAAGAAACTGTCACTGACAGACAATATAAAGTTTGAACAATATAATAAAGAAGAGTGATTAGGATGGTTTGACGAATGTTATTATTTTATTATTTATTACTAACAAAGGGGTCGTTTTAAGCCTTCTAAAGATTTGGTATTACTATCACAAATTGTTAAATTCAAAAAAATACATGCGAAAATTATTGTAAATGTTGACTGTTTGCTGTGTTCCAATTTGTTGTTTGTATAATGTCAGGTGTTTGAAAATCACAGAAACAGTTAAAAGTGGCAGTATAATAATAATATCTGCATGTTGGAATATGTAAATGTTTTGATAATTAAGTTAGGCTGCAAAAGTTGCGACTATTGAGTTTTTTAATATGCCTCGTCGTTTTGATAGTCTTTATTGATAACTCTTACTGACGTATTTAGGTCATGAGATTATAAGGCTTGCCTGTAATTTGTGATCAGATTTCCCATAATGACGAGGGATCGGACTGTGATAAACACAAAGTTTCACCGTTGATAGTAACTGCGGTTATTTTTGTATTGTCAAAACTGGAAAAAGAATATACTTTCTATTGACGTAAACGTATACATGAATAAAAATTTGAAATTGCCAGTAATAGCTCGTGATTTTAAAGATATTGTAGTTTTTTCTATTAAGTCAACATTTGATGTAAGTTAATTCGTATTATTCAAAAGAAAATGTTTGGAAAAGGTATGAAATTTCCAGGGATTGGAAAAAGCTGCATTTATAATGTCACTAAAATGATTGCATATCTTCAATCCAAATTTGTGTCACAAATGTAACTGAAGATTGAAACAACGTTGCAGTAATAAATAGGAGAAATCTAATTCATAATGCAGTAAGTAGTTTTTGATGGGTTCTGATTGCTGAGAAACTGTTATGTCATGTATGTAGAACTGTTGAACATTGTCATTATTTCACTGCCGTTGATTTTCAAACTCCAACTCTTACTCCATTTGGTTTTGTTTGTACATTTGAGATTCGATTTCCTTCTGTATTTTGTTTTATTATTGTAATTAAAGGCATTGTTTGTTGTTAGGAATGTTAAAGGTTTTCATATGAACGTGATTTTTACTGGAATAGTTGAGAAAGTGGTGGTCCGTTCTCTGAAAATTGAACAATTTTTGGAAAATGAGGGATCTTCCGTAATTACAAAGGACGAAATGGAATGGAAACATGAATGTTTCGTTCTGCGATTGGGGTTAAAGACATTTAAATAGCTAATTGCTTCATTCAAGCAACGAATTTTTAACAATGTGGGCATATCTGTTTTACGGTCTTCCAGTATGACAAAGTGTTTTTTGAGCAACAACCGTTTGCTCCACCATCATAAATTCTTGTCAAGGTTTCGCATTCACTTTATAGCGATTGCTTAACCTCTAAGACTCGGTTTCCTTAAACCTATTTAAGAAAGTATTTTAAGGGTTTGTGATGTTGGATGTGAAGTGTTGCTTATGAAGTAGCGTCCTGTTTAGAAATTGTTTTCGTTACGTTGATAGTGATATTTTGCTTATTGAGGAAATGAAAATAAAGCAGAATTGTTAATTTATAATCCCTTGTTTCATGATTATATTTATCCAAAGAATTCTGAACTTGAAATTAGTATTGAAGCAATTTACTATGCAGTAATAATGAATTTTGTAAAATATAGTGGCTGACTTTCTGAATAAAGCCATTTTTCATCATCAATCGTGGGAGATCTGTTGTGTACTTGGGAGTGTGAAAATTTCGTAAATTAATGAAAAAATTACCACTACCCCTAAAAATTCTTGTGAACATTTAAAATTTTCAGCACATTCTGGCCAGGCTTCTTCTTCGTCTTGATCCTCTTTTTTACCAGGTTGGTAACAGAGCTTCAATTTTATTTATTGTCCTTGGTTGGGAAAAAAGTGCTCTCTGATAACCAAGTATCTTTCGTCTTTGTTTACTCAAGTATGGTCTAGATATAGTCGAGATTGTGCTGCAAGAATCATTAGTAAAGAAGCAAGCTCACAACATTTTCAAAAGTTTCTGTATTCTGAAGCAGATAGTGAGCTAGATCTCTGAACAGCATTGCTAAAACAAACTCGTGTTAGTACTTTATAGTGATAAATGTTGAGTTGGAAGTAGCCACAACCATATCTTCCATGGATATCTTTATTGCAGCTTTTTTGAACACAACCATAGTCTGCTTCCCAGATTGCTTGCATGCAGTCGTTGAGAGATTCTACTGAAAATTTTAAACTGTAATAATGACATAAGCCTTATTTATTTATTTTATGCCATTTTTTCAAATCTTAATATGTTTGCAAAACTTTTATTGCGACTGAAGTAGATTTTTTTATTCGTTTTTTCTTGACCAGAATGTAAATAAAGGTTTTGCAATTTGTGATGCAATAATCAACAGATACAGTAAGAAATAATCTGTAAATTAAAGTAATTGGGTCGAATAATGCTTGTATGAGATTATAACACTAACCTTCAGGAAGTACTTGCGATTTGTTTGGTTGAAAGAGAATGGAAAGACAGATTAATATAAAGACAAATTGCTTTTGCTGGTATGCATAATGATATTAAATGATAAGTTCTTGCATTATTAAAAATCAGAAAGTATAAAAAATATGAGCGAGCACCACATTTGAATTTGAATCGGGACTAATAAATGAGTAATAGCAGTTACAAGGGAGATCCGGCCCGTCCAAACATTTCTAAGAATGACAATTTTAAAAGGCGATTAAGTGGTTGCTTCAGCTTTGGCTGATGACAAAAAGTAATTTATGTTTATCATTTTTTATTAAATTTCTCGTTCAAAAATCTTGGTATTCTCGTATATTTTTTCACGTTTTTTTGGCACACAAAATCATAAAAGTTTAGTAACTGTTAATGTATCAATGAAATTCATACTAATCATAGTATGATACGCTCAATATCGGTAATGACTTATATTTAATTCATGATTTGGAATTTCTTACTGGGAAAACTGGCATTGACGGTAGTTAAATTAGAATTATGAGAATTATATGGGTGTGAAATCAACCAAAACTATATGGGTGTGAAATCAACCAAAACTATAATAATTGCTCAAGTTTTGGATCAATTTTGTGTATTTTACGTCTTAAATACAACATAAAGCATAAAAAGTAGATCCATTTTAAACTTATCTATGCAGTTTACTGAATCATGTATAGCTAATAATTATCAGTCAGTCCGAAGTCAAACAAACGAAAGAAATATTTCCTCTATAACCTAGAAAAAAACAAAATTTTCAATTACTACATTAATGAAGCCCAGAATACAATTTGCTTCATACACATCAGTTGAGTTCAATGAATAAATTTTAGTAATGAGCTGAGAGTGAAATATTCTGTCAATGCATTTGTCATGGCATACTCTTTGAACGCCATACAAGACGAAATATTTGATTTCTTTGTGATGAGTTTCAAGTTCAAAATAATACTAATAATTACGTTATTGCTTGTCATTTGCTTCTTTCTTTGCAAATTGAACGCAGTTTATTTGTTGCACAGTTTTAAATATGTACGAAATCAAAATAATGTAAACTAAATCACTGCAATGTACTTAAAAATAAGTTTACATCATTGCGGAATTTCTAACATTTTAACTTGCATGTTTCCAATCACTGACCACAATTTGGCCACCAAGTTTGAATATTGTAAATTTTAGAAAATATATTGATAGCTGACTCAAAAATACTTCTAAGAAAAGAAAATAATAAAATTTCAGCTCCTGGTAATATAAAAATTAATCGTCAACTTTAGTAAATAAAATACAGTGTTAGCTCTATTTCATGCTATCATTTCATTTTCTTTACAAGTATTTTCTTCGGTCATTATTTTTTTTCCTCTAAAAGACCAATACCAGCAAACAGTGAACAAGAAATTCAAAAACACGTCTAATTTCATGTCAGTCATTAACCAGTAAATTTTTGAAATTTTATTATAATTGAGCTTGTAAAAACTATGCTCCTCATAAGCCCATCTACAATCAGATAGTATTATTCAGTATAATAATTAGCTATTTTTTTAATGTATAATTCTTTGAAATCACATTCAGATAATTATTTGGACTTGTTCAGTATGCTTAGCATTTTGCGAAAATAATCTCCAGAAATAGGACAAAGTAACGTTTGCATAGGAAATATTATAGACCAACAATCAATCGGGCAAATTTGATAAACAGAAATTTACGTCAACATGATTATTACTTTAAAAAACTTATTTTTAGACGAATTAACAAGGTTCTTTTGGATGCAATTTTTTGCATTTCACTGAACATAAGTGCACCGTAACTTCTTCCTGATTGCAAGAAGCTTGTAGTTCGCGAACATGCCCATTTAACTTCCTGTTGTATTCTTCTGAAGGAAGGAAAACGAATCATGGCAAAAAAGTAAAAAAAGAGATACGCATAGGATAAGCAGAGAGGAAGAAAAGAGTTCGAAAGCCCAAAGAAGAATGCTGTGTTGATTTGAAGTCTGGATAGAGAAGTCTGACAAGGGAATGGAGGACGAACGGAAAAAACAGCATCTAAATTCATATTAGAAATCAATAGGAAAACGGTAAAGTAGTAGAAAATTTCAGAAAATATGTGAGAGAACACTTCGCCAGTGTACTGGAAGCAGCAAGATAAATATACTCGAAGCACTCAGCCATGGAATCAAAGTTCCGTAGCTGGCCAGGCGAAGTGTTGAAGGCGGTTCTTGACCATTTCGAGAGGATGCCAAGAGGAGGATGACCTTTATGTCGCTTCTCATTTTCCGAGAAATTGATGTGTATGATTTAGCCCAAGAACGAAGGAGCAAGCGAATTCTATGATCACTAGAACATGCAGCGGTTGTTAGAAGAGACAGCGAAGTGTGCCAAAACACATGACGCCTATTTCTAGAAAAATGCACTACACAAGTCTAACGTTTATCTGGACGTAAAGCACAAGTACCTGGTAATGATGCAAAAGATCCAGAGTCGTGAGATAAGATAAAGAGGATGCGGAAAATAAAAAGGCTAGTGCACCTACTCGTGAAGGCTCGATAAAGAAAGCAAAGATTGAACTGCACGAAAAAGAACTTTATCAAAATAGTAAATGAACAGGTCATAAGATTTAATAAACTACAACGTTGGGGTGTTGATACCGGAACCATAAGAGTTCTAAACTATAGACGATGATATCAGACAGTTACTAACGGAATACATAATTAACCTGTATGTTTATAGGGACTGTACTTGTCAATGGACCGAGCCAGGACGTGAACTTCATAATGTTGGACGGAGAAATAAGCTAATTCTTCTGCAGCTTCAAAATGTACTTCTAGAAATCGAATCCACATCTACCAGGAGGATGACGATTTTAAAGCAGAAGAAGGATCACATCAAGAACACGCAGTTATTGTACCCTACTTTGCGACTAAATACAACCTCCTAGACAATACAACCGCTAAAAATCAAACAGCAGCCCAGAAAACGCTTTTTTGCAGCCAAACAGAAAGGAAAATCCGTCATACAAAGCTATACAAGATACACAGGAATGAGTTAGCTTCAACAGCAGATTCATCAGTGTCGGTTCGGAAAGATTAGTCCGGAAGATGAAACACGATACTGCCATCTCCATAATAGAAATATGTTCGGAACTGAGAAAGATATAGGCCAACATTGTAGAGAACGTGTAAAGATGGTGGACTATCTAGCAACACAGTACGAGAAAATGCTATATGACGATACTAGAAGAAGACACAATGAAACCCTACGATGCATCCATTTGGAACTCTGTAACAAGTATGGTGTGAAAGCATTCCCGCGCATTTGCAGCCATTCTGTTCAAAAGAACGTCGCGAATGAGAACGTTGGGATCAGAGTGGATATGCAAATAAAAACAGCTATAAAGATAAGTGAGAATAGGCCGACACACGATCCAGTGTCATAATTAATAAGACAGAAAAGATTAACTTCTATATATATGATGATGATGATACACTAATCACATAAGGTTCAAGAAATTTTTGTCTGTTGGAACAGCAAAACGTGGTTTGTGCTTAGTAAGCAAAGAAATATTTTATTAGATAAATTTTAGAAAACAGATTTTAAATTATACAATTTCAAACCCTCATAATATAGTGGCTCGCATCACATTTTCACAAACAAAAGCTCTTTTCATGCAAAGTTGGTAAACCCATGAGTTAAAAAATCAAGTAGAGAAAAAATACAAGACAAGTCGCAAATAATCATAGTTTTCAGTGCCAAACGTTCGTTTTTATACAATGTATTTTCTTATAATGATAGTCTAATTTTGAATTAAAGGTGGACATTTATGATAAAAAGAAGTTTCTAGTGCAATAGCCAACCCGAAAGCACAGCTCTGTTGAACCACAGAAAATTCTTCAAAAATTTTTAACGTGTAGAAATTGCAGCAATTACTACAATACAAACCTTATGTTTGAAACAGTCATTGCATATATTCCTTTAGTTGCAAGAAAAATAGTCTAAATTATATCAGTCTCATTAAAAAATCAATTTTCCAAAAGAATACAAACACATAATAAGAGGAAAATATGCTCTCTTATGTGTCAACTTCAAGGAACGTGGCGTATTCAACAAGCTTATTGATGTCAACTGGTTCCTTCACCTTTTTTTTATTTACACTGCTGAATGTTGGTGAGACTCGTCCTTGATGTAAAGGATCCAATTCACTGAGTTTAGTCTTCAATTCAGAAGTCATTTTTGGAATGACGTAACCATCTTCTTGCACCCAGCCAACTTCATCAAGTATCTGCTAATTAAAATGATACAATATAAAAAATACAGTTTGATATAAAAATGTGACATGAACTAGATGTTCGCATCCTAACATGATGATGAGAGCAGTGTTAAAGCAAATAAAATATGAAACTTATTAGACATAATGACCTTTCAGAACTGAACAACGATGTAAAGGGATTTTCTTGAATCACTTTATATAACACTGAATTAATAAATCACATAAAATGCTTCCAAATACCAACTTTTTGCAGTTCATCGTTCGACTCAGCATCGAACATTTCCGCCAGCTTTACTGCTTCGATATTGAGATACACATGTTCAACCATTCGCAATATGGATAACATGATTCCTTTCTCTAATTCCATAATAAGATCCCTTTGAATAAATCGGTTATGATAAAAATTATAAAAAACAGAAAAAATTGTTTAGTACTACTTTGCAATAAAAATTCACAATGACACTCGGAAAAACAAAATGTCTCCAGTAAATTTTTCACATAAATCTGGAAACAAAGTTTTTTCTTCGAATATCAAAATACTTTACGAAAATTGGGGATCGTTCACTAGATTCAAAAGAAATAAACGTAAGGAAGATATACGGGTAATATCTACTATGATGCAACAAAGCATACTTTATTGGGCAATCAAAACTCGCATTTTTTATTAGGTGAAGCGCAGCTCCAGTATTGCACTCTTCCAGATGACGGCAAATAAGAAGGAGAGTATTCATTTTGGCATTCGTTACCGACGCTTCAGCACGAAGGCGACATTGACGAGCCTGAAACAATAAAGAATGTGAAAGTGACGCAACACTAACATGTAAAATTGCACCAAAAGCGGTTTCCTCTTATTTCCAACAAACTGTTGTTATCCTTATGTTTCATGATTCCCAACAAAAATGCATCATATCTCTACTTCGCTTTTAATTCCATACAAAACTCAATAAAATATGTCTTGTTAGCAGAAATGAAATTTATAGATGGAAGTCTAAGAATGATGATTTGTTTTGCAAAAAGACACAGACTTTGGTCCAATCTTCCTTGATCATATAGAAAATCAGCAACTGAGAAAAAAAATCGACATCAACATCATTCTCGTTAGGCTGAAGTTCGCGATTTTCAAATGACTTTAGTTTCATAATTAGTGGTGAAGATGCCTGAACGATACATACATTGTGCATACAAAGAGAAAGCGACGTAAGTCAATAACTGCTGCGGCGGATTTGCGTACAAGGTTATTATTAATGTGCATTTCCGCATTGCACTAAGATGATGACAAAAGATCAAAATCATATTTTCTTTACGCAAACACTTCAAATTCGGACCAGGTGACGGAAAATTGATTTGATCAAAATGAAATAAGCACAACAAAACATTTCAATCAACGAGGCAATTTTTAGATGAAATATTATCCCTGTTCCATCCTTGATGAAAGGAATTTTGTTTTGAAGGGAAAATTTCACTTCTTGTGATCAAAAACAAGCATTACTAATCAAGTTAAGCGAAGAATTTCACTAATTGCTGATTGTACAAATTATGTCAACTCACAGTAGCCTCGCTTGAATTAGCCCTGACATTGGAAGCGGGGAACATCGGAAGACTATCTTCCGCATCCATCGGAAGAACTTCATCTGAAATATTTTTTGTACTGTAAAGCACACTTTCTGAACCCAACAAATCTTAGATAAATAACAATGATTCAAAAATGTTCCTTTAAAACAACATACAACGCAGTTTCGATAAAACAAAACTAACCATTTCCCGGCGCGCAACTACTGACACAAGAAACAAATTCATTGCTAGGACACCTCACGCTGCCAACATTCTGAGAGCTACGGTACTCTTCGGACATTTGCTAGAATATTAGTATTTAACAATTTACTAACATATCCTTGAGATAGCCAGTTCTTGTGCAGTAATGTATCGACAGCAAAACAAGACGTTTTTAAGCTTGGACAAGATGTTTTTAAACTTTATCAATTTTTGGAAATCAATATCCCCACCATCCCACAATTGAGGGAACTTGAAAGACTAAATACAAATTAATTGGTGGCACAAGCAATTCTTCTACTTTATAACACTTAGTTTCACTGGGATATAATCTCTACACCAGTCAATTCAGCCAGCAATGTGTGAATGTTTTCAAATGCATGCAAGTGTCTGACCAGAGATAACTTCCATAAGCTACCTCTTGGGTTGAACAGAAAAGAATTCCGGAGTGGATTTGAGGCAGCACTTTGTAGGAATAAATAATATTCGTTCCCAAAACTGAATTACATTTTACCAGAACCGTACCAAGTTAATCGATCTTATATGAAGGTGCGACTTCACAAAACATGAAAAACGAAATCCTACCGGATATAAACCACATCTTCGGATTATCCACATTCAACAGACGTTCCCAATTTTATTATCAATCTTTTGTGAATTACAGTCATACGCACATAAGGAATTATTAATTAAGATGTAACATCCCTACTTTGTGCAGTAGGGGCCGGACATCACAGAAGAATCACCGTAATTTGAGAAAATAGCAAGCTAACATACACGGGCATGCTTTAGCAAAGCCCAACGTCCTCGAATACCGAGGCGATTTGACATATCCCAACCACCTTGCATTGCGCAAATTGCGAGGAGATGAAGATTATTTTAAAAAGCAAAATAAATGGAAAACATGTCGCGGAAAATTAGCATACATATAAAAAATGTGATCAGAGATATGCAGAAATTAAATGTCATACATCCCCTAACTGGACAACATTTTCAAGCTGAAACATTGGAGTACATTTCAAACCTTTATATCATGAGGCTCATAAATTGATAATTCAACAAAAATTTAATGATTAATATTTGAAAAAGCTTAATGACTACAAACATAAATAGAAATTTTTAACATCAATTTACATCTACGTAATATAATCTAAATGCAATAAAATAAAGCACTGTAGCCTAAACCTTCTTGTTATCCAGTTCTGAACAACCATCTGATCTCACACAATAAGTAGAGTGAAAGACATAAACGATAAACAGTAAATTTTCATCACTGGTTTCATATATAAATATTCGCTCACAAGCACCTTGAAAATTCTTTTCAGAAAAATCACCAAAATTAAATTTGAATTAAAAATTAACTTAAAAGATATTTTCTCTTTCAAAAATAAATCCTTTTCAATGAAGCAAAAACCAGAACAACACAAAGAGTAACGTGAGAAAACTTCAGAGATGAAAGAAAACTTAGAGGCAACAAAATAAAACCAAAAATACTTGAATGCACAAAGATTCTGGAAAGCATAATTCCTTTCTACAACTGAAAATTAAAAACGTTGTCCATGTGTATAAGGAAAGTGGAACCATAACCATGTATAGAGGGAAAAAAGAGCCACTTTGATCAATAATGAATATGCCTCCCGTTCAAATTAAAAACAGATTATCTCAGAAAAAAAAATTTAGTAGAATACCTTGTTCCCCGCAAGTTTCCTGTCACAAAGATGACCGGATCCAATAATATCCGCAGCTAGGAAAAATGAACAAAATCCTACAAAAAAAGAAATTTTGAAGAAAATGTCCTACAAAAAAAAATTAAAACTACCCTGGGAAATGCAAAGAAGCTATTTTTCATAACGAAGTGAAGATAAAATGTACCCTCGCTACTTTCTTTTGAGTGAAACGTGCATTGCAGAGATTTGATTATAAAGTACAGATTTCAGCAAATGAAACACAAAAAAATGACTTTATCCAGCTGCAAATTTCCATTCTTGCCTACATAACGGACACTGCGGACGAGCTGTATTTTGTGTGTCAGTCCATTTTACAATGCAGTGCATATGAAATGCATGTTTACACGCCCCGATAGCCTGCAAAAACAACAATAGCAAAAACCATGATCAAAACTGAAGCTTTATCTATAATTTAAATAATTCATATTAAACAAAGTACTTGAAACAAAAATTAATCTCAAAATTTCGCAGTAAATAAAATGAACATACCAAAGGACATTCATCTCCAGGTGTTTTGCACTCTATGCAGCATGCTTCAAATGGCATGCGACAAATTCCACAAGTTTCATCCCCCGCAGTCCACTTCCATGTTGCAGCGACCTAAAAAATAGTACTTACGACAACAATCCATTCAATCAAAGCAAATTTTGCAACAAATTTTAAATCAATCTCAAAACTATAAGACCAAATCAACAGATAAACAGAGAGAAAATGGACCCCTCGCGTTAATAATGTACCATAAACATGCAAGCACTAACATTCCATTTTAGAACTGAAATTTTTAAACGAGTAGATGAGGATAATTCCAAAGGCTGTGGTGAAGATTCCATAGACAATGATGAATCAAGAGGCAACAAAAAATTCTGAGCACTGCTGCTGGTTTCTTTAGCAGAACTTGTTTCCTTAAATTTTCTCTAAGTATCACCATTAATTTCCATTCTGACTTTGCTTTGCTACATGAAAGGAGATCACATCTTAAATAAATTTTTAATTATTACCAGCCTGTATATGAATCATATAGTTTGTGTTATTGATAAGTTTTGCTCTACTTCTTAAAAAAATTTGAGTAGCCCCTATAATCATTAACCTTCAAAAATGCAACGAAAGCAGATCAGGACAATTTCTATTAAACAGTTACAAGTGCTGACGATTTTTCATGAATACTCTTTTCATAATACAATGCCATAAAATGTCAAGATTAGCATTATAAACCGATATTTCATCGATATAAATATAGAGAAATAAATCTAAAAACTACATCCTTTCTACTTCTGCGAAAGGAATGAAATTTAAGATATTTCACTTTCAATATGAAATTCAAAACTAACAGTGCTATTCGAACTCATTTGAGATAATTGAAGCACTTGACCACTTCTTTCTTGGGATATTTCTCCGCTATCATTGAAAAAACTTTCGTTTCCTAAAACAGCATAAAACTCTGCTCTTCTTAATAAACGAGAATTATAAAATAGGAAATCATAGCATTATTGAACCACAAAGAACTCTAAAGAAATTACAATAATTGTCAAGCATTTGTAATAATGACAATTTGAAGTAGCTATTTACAATTTGAAGCAAATAAAAGTATATAAACATGATTCTCCATGGTCAGAAAGTCATCCCTGAGAAGTTTTAGTAAAAACAGATATCATTTTAAAAAAATACGGAAAACTGACGCGCACGTTCTCTTTGTGCGGTGGAATCAAGATCATTTGAAATCGGAGAATACAAATCTTGTACTAGTTCTAATTCCTGAAACATGAAACAATATGCTTCTTTGTGACGGCTTTGCAGGACCAAAACAATCTGCCTTATTCCGCTGCATAAAAAGACAAAGCTAACATCATCAAAGTCATTTGCTTCAACTGATGAATCGCTACTGATATCATTTTCCACTTCATTTGAGCGAGTGCCAACAGCAATATAATCATCATTTTCATCACTTAATGGCATGTCAAATGATAAAGTAGTGCTATTCGTTAGCAAAGACAGCGATTCCAAAACACCAGTTCCCAAATTTCCCAAATGAGAATTTACTGCAGCACTACTCCTCGTTACTGGTTCTTGTGCTTAAGATGTCATTATCAGTGGTGTACATTTAGTGTTTAAACTGACTACAGCTGAAATCTTTGTATGCGATAAACACTAAAATATTAACCATGCCGATGATTTAACAAATCCAAATACTCCATATATGATTCCATTTGTGACATTGAATCCTCTTCCGATCGACCACGAACATCCCTCAAATGCTCTCCTACCTAGAGTACAGAATCATGTTCGGATTCTTAACATCATTCGAAAAGATTATGATATTAGACTACGATAATAATCAAACATATATGTTAACAAAAACTCTTATGACCTAAATTTCACAAATACCAATAAATTTTTTTTACATGGAAAAATAATTGACTAGGTTCTGAAATTGGTACTGAAAGATAGAATTTACACTAATGTTGCCAATATCGAAATTCCGAAGTGCTGCAGTCAACGAGGCAGAACTCGAAGAAGAAGAAAGTATGTTTTGATCAGCTACCTCAGAAAGCTGAGAGGATGAGAGCGTATTTTGGTCAGCTGATTCAGAAAGTTGCGAGCTTGAATTGGATGCTGTATCAAGACCATGAGCATCTGGTGACAATCTTAAAGAGTACAGTCCTGCACAAATTGAAAAACTGCATGTTTTGAATATTTTGATGTGATACAATAAGGTAAAAGACAATAAGAATACATATCAGTATAAAAACATCACCTAATAATGGAAAGCGATTTAAACACTACAAAGTGTTATCAAACTGAAACTCAAAGTGTGATCTCAGAATACAAGTGAAAGTATCTTACATGTTTTCACCAGTTTCTTCTCGCGACATGTTTAACTGAAAGTGAAAACTAGATTGAACCGTTTCTCATAGAAACAAACCAGCTAGAAATAGAAAAAAAAATAAGTGCGCGATTGTAACAAGAAAATACTAAAACTGACCTATGTGATTCAAAAACAGACAACAAAGATAAGCCCCTTCAGAGTTTAAAAAACCAATCATTTTTTTCAGAAGATAGTAATAACTTTTTCTTTTCACTTCAGTAATGCAAGAGAGCGCATTACAAAAGGTAGTAACAAGCCTAAACTAATAGAAGAAACTACGAAACCAGAAAACGTGATATGGATGAAGACAATACAATCACGGATCGCAGAGTAATTTAATGAAAGTAGTGCTGAATCCTTGGAGAAACTAATGTACAATGCAACCAGAGTGAACTGTGTATATGTATTAAGAAATTTCTCTCAGAATCTGAGGACTACATTATGCACTAAAACTTCTGAACAGTGTCAGAGATTTAAGACTAGGACTAATGCTTAATTTACCAAAAGAATACCTAACCAAATTTAAGAGAACTAAAACTTCAGAAACTCAGTTACGATCTCAGAACTCAATCAAGCACTTGGAAGTATGTTCAAAAACTTACAAGTGTCGGTCATGAAAAAGCAATCAGGACATCACAGAACTTCACTGCATCACTAAAATACCAACGTGTCCCATGAAGGATTTCAAGCACATTATATCAACCGCAGTTAGTAAAGCTCACTATAACAAACTCAATGTTTTGAACAAATCCAAACCTCGATGACCACCTAAATCTAAAAGAGACGGACCTAGCCACATTCTGAAACTAATATAGTGAACCAAAGACTTAATCAAATGTGACATATGAATTTCCGTTGAAATAGTGCATTCCAGAGCAAATTAATAGATCAATAGAACTGAAAGAGATTTTAGTACATCACTTTTATTCAAAAAAGATTTATACTAGCATACACAATAATGATGATAAAATTTGATAAAGAGAATATCTTTCTATCAATGCTATTTACAAAAAGGACAAAATTTATACAAAAGCGTTACCACACATAATTTATCGCAAAGCATTTGAGAAAGTACAAATATGAGATAAAATGTACACCAAGAAATGTATCAGAGTTTAGCAAATTTTGAGTCTCTAAAATGTAAACATTTTTAGCAATAAAAACGATGCCACTAAAGATCAAGGGGAAAAATTACAGACTTTTAAAGAATATACAGCTGAAACAGTAACACAAACCACATAGAGAAATATAAGAAAACTGTGAATGAAAAATAAGCTGTAACAGAACCTGATTTAGCCGTCAAAAAAAAATTATTCTTTTGCATATAAAATTAAGCGACGATGCATTCGTGATAGAAACAAAAAAGTACGTGCGAACTACGCTTACTCTAGCTATACAAATTTCTAACAGTAGGAGTGGCTTAATGATTCAAAATACGAAGTAGATGACAATAATTTGAACTTCTGCTACGTATGTGTAGTCATATTACATTAGTAAACGCGATTTATTGAAATAACTCACATAAAACATTGCTTTTCCGGCACAAAAATATAATTTATATTTCAGAAAGCTACAAAAAGAATAATTACTGATTAGTGTTTAGATAATCGACGAACAACATTGCACATTTGGGCACACTTTTTATTGGATGCATTTTCATAGAAGTGATGAATTGTCGTCGCAAACTTGAAAGTTCAGCAAAAGATCGCTGACGTATAAAAAGAACCTAAAAAGAATATATATTAAATTAAAAAACAAGGAGACACAATTTTCAGCTTACTGACAAGAAGCAGTTCTGACAGTATGAAAGTATGGTACATATTATCGAAAGTGAAAAATTGTTTAAATACAATAACTCTTCAACTTAATATCTGAAGATTTAAAAAATTAAAACTTGTAAGTTGACATAAGGAAAAGAATACACTATTTCTTAGTAGAGTGAGCAAGAGAAAATGATAGGAATCAATAAATTCTTCAGAGTATAGCTTTCATGACCTCCAGCAGATTGCATGCAAGTATCATCGAAGTAAATTTCAAAGCAAGATAGTCTGAGCACAAATTCGTTAACTAATTACAAACTTTTTTTTCATAAGAAAGCAGTCAACAACAACAGGTTTCCGCACATATTCATGATTTCATCTTCTAACGCTACACAGATAAAAATACTACTATAAAACTACTACATTTTGAACGCAAAATAACGGTATACGACTGCTGCACCTGAAAAATATAATAAATACAGATGCACAAAGAAATAGTTATAATCAACCTTTCCATCATCCGTGGCACAATTTGGTACGATGAAAGTGTCACCCGGTCTAGCAAAATGTTGTTGCTCAAGCACACTTCCCACGATTTCTTGGGTTACACGATCAAGAGTGTGCAAAAAATCAGCTGGCATTAGCGGCGTAGTTCGAGTACTTTCATTAGCTTTTAATTTTTTACCCTATAAATGGAGTACATCCCTCAACAACTGATAATTCAAAGTACTAATAATCACAAGCACCAAAAATCTAACCTCGAATAACCAGAAACAAATATCCTCCAATGCTAAATGTTCGCCTTTGGGTCCACAAACATCCAAAAAATGTTCAGAATTATTGTTAAGCATTTCATGGATTTCATCATTAACTTTAATTTTGATCGTGAAAAGCGGTGAATCCCATCTGTTTGCTGTTATGGGCTTCTCAAAACGCACGACTAATTGAGTTATTTGATCAGAAGCATATCTACAATGAAGTTTCAATAAGATTTAAAATTTTTAGCTCGGAATCAGGTCTAGAAATATTGATCTAATCTTATTAGAAAAGTAACTGATGAATTGATGCAAAGATTGTTCATGAGATTCTTTTCTATTTTTAAAAAGGAGATTTTGGAATGAATTATGCTTTTCATTAAACGCTGTTTTACTCTACTTTTTATGTTCAGGCCTTTATTCAGCGTAAACTTGTCCACTATAAAATATAAAGTATCTCCCAATTAATCAAGAAGTTTATCCCTCTTCAAATGATTAAGAAAAAACATACCTTTCTATTTCATCTTTCTTTAAATTAAGCTGCTGGCAAATATCTTCGTTAGCTTCACAATACAAAACACAAAAAGTTGTCCGCACAAATTTTGCCATGCAAAATAGTTCGTATCTAAAACCTATATTCTGGTACAACACAAACAAGAACTATTTCATAAAATAAGTAGCACAAAAACGCATATACATGAGAAATACCTTTAATGTAATTTAATGAATCACAGATGACTAGACAGTTAGATGAAAGCAAGCGTTGTACTTCTGACTTTAATACTGCACGATGGTCTCGTTCCTAAACTAAACGAGTGGTATTTTAAAACTATTTCTCAGAGATCTTAAAGCAACTAATTGCAAAAATTCCTCCTAATTTCAATAGCTCAAATTCAGTGAGTGATGACTGATGTAGCATGAAGATACAACTGATATATTTGGACAGAAAAAAATATCTACCATAAAATTGCAAACTACAGCATATATCACTGATATGAAACTAAACTTGAGAAATGAAATCAATAAGGCAAGAAATCAAGGTAACAAACCAAGCGTGAATCATTATATACTGTCCGAGAAAATGAACCATTATTACTATCAGATATTACCACAACTTCCTGCGTTCTTTTAGATTTCATATACTGACAAAAGTATTTAGTAACAGTGCTCTTTCCAGAGGAAGGGTTTCCACACACAACCATCAACGGCATCTTCAATATAAAATATTAGATGGTGGAAATTACACTAGTAAGAAGAACTAAAAATAACCACCATGGCAGAATCACCTGAAAAAATACACGAACAGTAACACTGTATGTACTTAATACTACACACAACACCACTTTGCGATAATCATATTTTAATTCTTTTTCACTTTTTCACACATACAAGATTTTACAACATATCTCAACCTCTACATTGTGAAAAGAGTAGTCTCATTAAGATGACTACTAGAATTATACACATTCATTGCCATATATAATGTCCGACTTTGATTAGTATCGGTTAAATTGTTTGTTTGAAGATTCAGTTTACCAAAAGAAGAAATTTTGTTCGTATGGGTTTTCCTCATTTTAAATCAAAGACCAGTTATTATTTAGACAAAACTGAAACGTCGCGATCATACTTGTAGTTATTCTTCCTTCATTAATGATTTCTTAAAATCAAAGTTTTTTTTTACAAAAATATTCTTAATATTGTCAAGTGTGGTTTATATATATAT